CAGGCAAGTTCCGATAATTTAACAAAAATAACGGGGACGTCAGAGAAGATTTATGAATATTAGGAAAATTTCGTCAACTTAAAATCTAAAAAAATTCAAAAAAGTTTCCTGTAGCAAACTTCAGGGAAGATCATTGAGCTTCAAGATAGTTACATTAAACATTGGGAAGTTTTGGAAACTTTTAAGAAGTTCTGTGGAATTTGAGGAATTTCAGGGAATTTCTGAATGTCCAGAAAATGAAGGAAGTTGAAGGAATTTAACACAACCATTTTTTTTTTTCCTTGATTTGTTTTCCGTCGATCTTGTTTTCCGTGCTGAGCACCAATGCTACCGACGCCAGGAAGGCAGCTCCCACACCTGGACCCTACCTATCGACCCATCAAACTCATGAACCGGGGATCAACGGCTTTACTTCCCTTCCGAAGGAAGGCGTGATCAGAGATGTTATGCCTCAGAACATCCCGGTGGCGCCGACTGGGATTGAACCCAGGCCTGCTGGGTTGAGAGGTAATCACGCTTACCACTACACCACCGGATCCGCTGATAACACAACCATGTAGCGTTAGAAGAGCGATTGTGTGTTTGGTTTATCAATATTAGGATCTGGATTCATATCGAATTTACGATTTTTTTTTACGTCTCAAACATCCATAACCAATCAAACGAATTGTTGCCGTGATGGTCCCGAATATAGTTTTAAAGTACAGATGAGGCCTCGTTCTTTTCAGGTTTGATGCCCTTTAAGTCTGATTGGAACTCGATTCCCAACAGCACTTGTTTCAGAGCAGTAATTAAAGCATCTAACATATTGCATTGTAAGCATGTATGCTAACGATCAATTATTGTTTCCACATATATGCATCAATCAAACAAAGAGCTGATAACACACTGATTAGAATACGCTAAAAATCAATCACGTTCAGGATGTGAATCCAGACTTATAGAAAGTACATCTTCATGTAAATCCAATGACAGCCTGGGTGCATTACACACTTTTTACAGACAAGTCAATCAAGTGACTTGTTATCATCCCTGCAAGACGTGGTTGAATGATCTTTGCATCGTGTTAAATCATTGAATACGCACTCGTCCCGTTCAGGAGAAGATTGAACCCTGGAATCAGAGCTAGGAGAGTGTGATGTGTTAATGATTGAAATTGCAGGAAGCATTTTCCATCTGACGCTTATTCTCGATGCATCTATCGTGGATGCAGTACTGTAGCTTCAACTGGTGGTGAAATTTCTGCCTGTGCCTTTTGATTTGTTCCCATGAGAAGATTGTAGTGGTTGGTCAGAGACAGGTGAATGTGTTGTGTTAACGCTCCGAACATTGTGAACAAGCTGGCTTGTAGAATGTGTATTTTCGACTCATAGAAACAGATGCTCAGCTTCGTATTCATTGTCAAGGTGTATGTAGGTCAGACATCTTACCCAGATAGAGGGCTGCAATCGTGAATTGGTACATAATTAGTGGCACCCATTCATGTGTAAACCACGTTCTTCCACTAATCGGTAACATGCATCTATAGATTTAAAGCTCTCAACAACAAATGTTGAAGAGTTCAAAGTTAAGTGCGTGCGCAAAGATTAATTTGAAGAGAGATAACAAAAAAGAAGAATGAGAAGAAAATGTTACCTTGTGAGATTTTATTAAAACATTGAGTTTTTATAAGCAGTGCGCAAAAGTGTAGAATTGTATCTTATTTAGCAGCAGTTACTACTAGCTGGTCTATGAAGCTTATTCATATTTCAAGAACCTAAATACTCAGAGAAGTGATTTATCAAACATTACCATTCAATTATAGTTTATTTTGCAATGCATCCTAGCCATATAGAGGGAATTTCTGCTTCGGCAATTACCTTAATAATCTTCAGGGTTGAAATCCTTGAGCACCAAATTTTGCCCAACGATGCTCTGAAACATGATATATCTTCGTGAAATAAATTTGCGTTCATGAACTTAATTTATCGCTTGACAATAATAGCTAAAAGTATTGTCGATGCTGTCATTTTCCCTACGAAAATGTATTATGACTAATAAAAACAATGATAGATATTCTCGTAAGCCTACTTGGACTTACTAGCCCTGGTACAGTCATCGTTTACTGATTGGGATGCAACCTCACTCATCTTTCAAAAGCCATTCGATAATTGAGATAGTTCTGAAGCTGCCAAATTGTTGTTTTTCCATGCAAAACAGCTAACTAGATTACGAGATGAATTAGTCAATGAGCTGAAAATCTCGCTAATAAAGCTATATAAAAAAAACTCACTATATAATTTTCAGGAATCAACAATTCAAATTCACGGCTAGTTCGACACAATGTTGTGATGGATAATTAATTTTTAGTTAGCACAACACCCAATTAACGAGCACCAAACTAAAAAAAATCCAAATTAGAATGCTCCCAACGAACAAATGATGACTGTATTTCGTATTGTTTCCTTAACATCATGCAGCTTAAATATCTACATTGGTAATGCGATTCTGAAGATACAAATACAGATACAAACGGCACACAGTTTTTACGAAAACACCTACTTTGGCTGAAGCTTCTTCTTCTTCTTCTTCGCATTTCAAGCTTATTGCATATCGCATATTAGCTTATTGCGTGCTCTCAACTTAGTATTCTTGATGTACTTCCACAGTTATTAATTACGAGCTTTCGATGCCTGTACCATTGTTGCATTGATATGATTGTGTGGCAAGTCTAATCATACTTCCAGGGAAGTCGATAAATCTTTCAACCCGAAAAATTCCTAGACCTGACCGGAAATCGAACCCAGCCGCCTCCAGCATGGTCTTGCTTTGTAGCTTCGCCTTTACCGACTGAGCTAAGGAAGGCTGAAGCTATTATTAGCGAATTAACATTTAATTGAACCTTTGGGCATCCATAAGTTTTTGAATTTTGCTACTCCCTCCCCTCCCTGTATCATTCATTTTCCCATACTTATTGCACGTACTGTTACAAATTATAGAACCCCTTCCCCCATCAAGAGTGGATGCCATATTTGACTCACCCCTGTACAGTATAGTGAAGACAATTCAAATCACATTAATAGCTTTTCGTTAAAGATTGCTTAGCGTAAATTTTATATTAATAAGTGTTTAGAAGCATTTTTATTGCCGCGCTACTGCATTCTTTCATTCCTACACACTTAAAAATAACTAATTTTACACGTGACGGAATCCGTTTTTGACATAAAAGATGAGACGTAAACAAACATGTCATGTAAAATTAGGTGCTCCGAGACTGAAAAGTTCGTTGCTCGACGAAAAGTACGTTTGATTGGACTATATTTCGCGTCTGTTATGCCTCAAATTTATGTCAAAATTGACGCTCGTATATGTCACTCTCAGAGCACCTAAATTTACATGATTTTTTCTAAGTGTGTAGTATTCTCTTTTTGCCCTAATTGGCATAGTTGGGCACTACTGTTTCGCTACAGTTTTGCTAATTTTTAATATAAAATCACAACATTTGTAACAATGGCAAGATTTTGTATTTAGTATTGGGGACGGCCCTGGTGTAGCAGTTATCATCCATACCTCTCACGCCAAAGTCACGAGTTCGAATCTTATCCCCGGACTGGTAACAATTGTGACTACAAATAATAAAAAAAGAAACAATAAATAGATTTTGTATTTCGATAATATACTAGGGTAAATGATGACTTCGGTAGACAGTGACTATTTTCGGCAACTACAATTGAAACTTTAATCTCACGGGATTTTCTCAACAAAACATTCCGCTGAATGTAACCAAACAATTTCTAAGCCTTTCACCTTCAATCTGATTAGATTTTAACAACTGAGCAAATGGATTTCACTATGTTTTTCTTGAAATTTAACACACACACTACAAAATCAGACCTTGCTCGGTAGCTAAGGTTTCTGTTTACTGAGCAGAAGGACAAAAGTTAAGTGCCTCGAATTTGTCACTGTGCTTAATTCAGTATCCCCAGATTTAAATAAACAAATCAGTTTTAAGCTGGGTTTAGACTAGGCAAGTCAAATGATCAACTCAGTTGAATTCAGTTGGCTTGAAAAATTGAGCTTGGTTCAACTTTTTTCAATTCAAGTCAGTTGAATGGCATGGTTTACACGTTCAATTCGCATTCTAGTCAGTTGAATTCAACTGACTTGATTAATTGACTTGCCCTGCCTAAACCCAATGAGATATACATACAGGAGTGGCACATGATAGTATTTGTTTGTGTTTGAGAGCAATACTACGAAACATTTTCGGAGATGAAAAGTATTAACGACACAAGAACCAACTCTCTGAACAAAAATCGTGATTCTGACGTCGCAACTTTATTGTCTCCGGTGCCTGAAGCTTCGGGTACACAGGACCACACTACCACCCATAAAGTTTGCCCCGCTTACTAATACATTCGTAAGAGGCACTGTCTCACCTATAGGTAAAGCACATAGGCCTAAACCCAGCTTTACCGATCGGACCACTTACCACTATAGATACTATAGATTCCATAGATAAGCGGAAGCAAAGTATAATGTAGCCAAACGAACTGTCAGTTAGTGCAGCCAAAGGAGCATGACGTCATCAAGGTGTTGTTTGAGGGAGAAGTATTGTAAAATTATGAGCACAAAACGCTTTCTACACTCCACATTCCGATTCATTTCGCGGACAACGGAAGAAGGAAAGATAAAGCAAACCATTCCTCGACTCATTGTTGCAAATATTTGCTTTGCACTTCATTTTGAACTTTTACGCACGAAACAAAATAAAACTGCACAACGAAGAGCTCTATGATGGCATGAACTTTTTTCACGAATGCCAGTAAGATCATTTGTTTTTCAAGGTTGCCAAAACATCTGTTTGTGCCTCCGCTTATCTATGGAATCTATAGTATCTATACTTACCACCAGAGATCGTCTGAAAGCAACCTGTTCTATACAAGGTGTGGAATTGTAGGCCTGAATGTATTGGTGCACTTCGTTTTTCACTCGGTTTTCATTCGACTTCGCACGATTCGTTTTTTTTTCAATCACCCTTTTAGTGACGTCATAACTTGCATAGGAAATTTAATATAGATTATAGTATGTTATCAAAATTTATGAACGTTCTATCACTAAATGTTGACATAATTGATTGAATATTAAATTATCACACAGTATACCATGAAAAGCAGCCTGTTTGTTAGTTTTTGCCCGTTTTCAAGAAAGGAGTTATCATTAAAAAAACAAATCGCCAGCTGATATATCCCGGCGACTTTACAAAAGATTATAATCAAGCAAAATCATCATTCAAAAATGGCTAGGATTTGTTTCACTTATTTCGCAAATTTGCTTTCAAGTTTTATGACGTCGTCATCATCGTTTTCCGCTAAGTTTAATTTTGTTCTTCTAATAATTTTTTGTTCCGAATACGTCAGGGCTAGATCTCCACAATTGGTATAGATTAGGTTCGTCTGGAAGGACACGCACTGCTCAATACAAGATTGTGTTTGTACGGTATGGTATTATTCTCCTGCATTTGATTTTTTTTAGAGCAAGAGACCAGAGAGAGAGCACGTAAACATTTGAGAGACGTGCGTTGTCCAATTCATTATTTGTTTAGCAATCCAAAGTGTGCTGGAACTGTTTATGTGACGCTAAAAATTTAATTCACTAGGTAGTTTCTATCCGTGCATGGAAGGGAGAAGCATAAATTGAGAAAACCTCATCAAGTACCTGAATGCTGCGATAAAATTTCATGAGCTGTGTAAAAGGAAGTATCGTAAAAACTCTTCTGTGCTTACGTCACGTACAGAATTAGTATTTCCTTTTGTCTCTGCCTTGCCAGCACAAAATTGCTTCAACTGCTTCATAAACAGCAATCTGCAATAAGTGGAATATAGCCACATCTTTAGAATATAATTCATTCATGGGCGCAGACTGAAGTGGGCAAAGTTTCGACAGCTTCGGGCCATAAAAAGAAAACCTCATTTGTTACTTGCGTCTTCTGGAATGAGAACAAACTGTGTTCAACTTTTCTCTTTAATTCCAGTCCAGATTGTGTGCAACATGAGCCATCCGCATAAGATGCCTGGGCAACTGTCGGCCGCCATGATATTAGATGATAAGTTCAACTTTTCTACCGAGGAAAAAAGTGCTGAGCGTTGCAAAACAATGACTAGTGATGAAAATCTGGAGGAATTTACAGATCCGTTTTGCAATGCTGATAATCCGCAGATAATTACGTTTCAAGATGTTACTTCGGCGGCATTCAGAATCAAGAACGGAATCGAGCACACACCCTGTCCGGTGAGTTGAAACGACTATGTTGACGCCGTTCTTAAAGTTTGCCATTCCTTGACAGAAATCACACCTGTCCGAAGTAATCGATATGGACATATATCTGAAGAAAGAGTTTCTCCAGTTCACGGGCAGCTTCAAAGAACGGGGAGCACGATATGCGCTTGTTATGCTGTCGGAAGAACAACGAAAGAAGGGAGTGATTTCAGCCTCCTTGGGAAATCATGCACAGGTATGTTTTGTTTCTTTCTGGAACAGGGCCTGGAATTCTAATGAAACCTGATTATATGAGTGCAAATGTTTACTTGCCTACTAGGGCACTCTTTGCTTTTGTTAAATATGCAACGAAAAATTCGACTCCATCATATATAAGGTTAATGTATTATATTTCACCCCCTAAAAAAATGCGCTCATTTTGCAACTCTTTGATCATCAATTTCAAATCACAGTTTTCATTAAGGATTTTTGATAAAGGAAATCTGTTCCACATTGATAAAATTAATAATTTTGAACTACCTAGGAGAACGTGGAGTATTACGCCCTCCTAAGGAAATTATCGGTTTTCACAACTCATAGATCAAAATTATGCATCATATTTTTAATACATTCATACTGTAATGAATCTTCTTGATGTTACCGGATATGAAAATATGCATTTATCACCGGAAAAAAATATATTAAAAAAATTCTGCTTAAAATAGCATTTTTGTTTTGCGCGGAGTAACGTACGCCACTGGTGAGAGTTTTATGCGCCCACCGACTTAGATGTTATTAATTTTTTATAATGCTTGTATTTTTCCAGGCTAATATTCAATGTTTAGATTCAAAGCCGATATTCAATGTTAAGAATACAAAATTTCTTAAAACTAACGTTAGTAAAGCGGCGGCCAATTACTCGCGGCTATCTCGAGGTTTGTAGAAGCGTTTATAGTTGACCCATCTGTGAAAAAAAAACTTTTATTGTTACTGTCATGGTGGTACTTGTTTGCAAAAACAACCATCGACCGATGGTGATCTGGTATTCCATGGTATTGCAACAAGATCAGATCAAAATTAACAGAGGAACTTTAAAAGTATTGTAGGCAAACACAATTGAAATTATATGAAGAGGGGCCAATCTCCAGCGTCATGTACTCGTTATAAAGACTAATGAATCTTGTTTGAGAATTTCTGTCGAGCAGCTTCTCAAACTTTTCTATTACCAATGGGTTCATTACTTCACAACGGATAAGAAATCGGAATGACAGTTCCGCGAAACGATCTGTCAGTGGGAGAACACCCGCGAGTCCTTCGAGGCTCATCGTATGCGTCGAGTGCATACAGCCAAGCGCGATTCGGAGGCAACGGTATTGAACCCGTTGCAGCTTCAGGATGTGTGTTTTGCCGCGGATTGAAAGCAGAAGCTACCGTACTCCAGTACTGACAAGAGGATTGTTCGGTACAACCTGATCAGATATTTCGGGTGTGCTCCCCATCAAGTTCCGGTAATTGTACTGAAAAAAAAAGATTCTTTGTTGGAACCAGACACCTAAATACTTGAAAGATACACTTTGAGTGATTGTTCTACCCTTTAGTGGAAGCTGTAACTGTGATGATGCTTCCTAGAAAAAAATTTGGAAGGGTTGTATACTAGATACGACTGCAGGGTTGGCGTTGGATAACGTCTGTTATGTGTTGTACTTAATTGTGTATATTATATTTTAGGAATATTCCTTAATAACTCTTTTGCGAAAGTTTGGTGGCCCTGAAAAGGGCCGTTTTGTTGGGCTGATGTTGTTGACAATGATGGAACCTTGTTGGACGCTTATATAGTAGAACAGAAAATATCAGAGGTGTCAGATACTCGCATACGTACGTTAAACTTGATAATGTTGTGGCCCTGAAAAGGGCCATTTTTCCAACGCGCTCGGCGTAGTTGCCCTTGCGGAGCAGACGGTGAATACGACCGACTTAGAACTGCAGCAGCTGGGCATTCCATGACGGCGGCCCAGTATACCGGAGCACTGGCACCAACGCACTCGGCGTAGTTGCCCTTTCGCCCCCAGGCTCTGCTGCCGCTGCTCTGCTGCCGTTGCTCTGCTTCCGCTGCTCTGGTACTGCTGCTCTGCTGCTCTGCTGCTGGGTCGACGATCGGATAGACAATGATGGAACGGGCGACCTTGTTGGACGCTTATATAGTAGAACAGCAAATATCAGAGGTGTCAGATACTCGCATCTGATTTCTCGGTTGGAGAAAGTATAAGAATATAAAAAAAAATCAATCGATTTTCACCATCTTTAGACAATGGTTTACTTTTAACCATTTTTCAATAGTTTACTGAATGAAATCAATAGTTTTGAAACATTCTTCAAATTGCTAGAAATATTTACAATCGATTGATCCCATTATCTCGTAAATCTATCGAGAGACGGTTGAGTTATTATCGTTCAAAATCTTTTAATTTTTCGTAACGCATCCAAAATGACTGTTTTCAATTTTGTACCCCCGTATGTTGCCGAAAGACGTTATCCAACGTCAAAAACAACCAACTAAGTTTTCTCCGGAGCGAATTAGATACCTAGTTTCATAGCTCAAGTAGACAAGGTGTACCTTATATTACAATGGCGCTTGCAGGTCCGGTTCACTTGGCCCGATGACGGAAACAACGCCATCATCTGCAAGACCAAGACAATCAATGTCTTTTACATAAAAATTGTAAAGAAGGGGGCTTAAACGTGATCCCTGGAGGAAACCCATGCAACTAATTGGTGCAGTTTTCGAATTTCCATGAGAAAAGCTCATATATTTCTCAGGCAACAAGTTGCTCGTACAGTTGTTCATAACTGATGACAGGCCACTATCGTGGAGTTTATTCGAAAGGACATCGAAACCAACAGAATCAAAAGCCCCCTTAATATGTCCAAGAAAACTGAACCCAATTTCTGTTTTTGCTCATAGGCCAGTTGGATTTCAGTTGAAATCAATGCAACCCAAGCAAAGTCCAGCATCAAAATGACAGCAAATTTAAATCATGTTTTTATATCAACATCAAACTGAAATCATACTTTGTTTTCAGTTTACGCAATTGACAAATTTGATACCAAATTTTGATTTCATTTTGCTATACATTTGTTCTTCAAAAATATGTTGTTGCGGGTTTGTTTTCATTGCCTTAGCATAACATCAAATTGAATACTTGTTTTGTTATCAACAGGAAAAATTGATATCAAATTGAGTTTTCAGTTTGCTCTCACTGATAGCAGAAATAGTTTTCAATGTGATATCACAGGAAGATTTTTTTGGCTCTCAATTTTGATATTTTAACCGTTAAAACGACCAAAATAACAGCAACCTGAGTAACCATTATCAGTGAAATCACAACATCAAATTTAGATTTCAATTTGATCTCAGACTTTGCTCGGGAAGACAGTCGTTCGTTCCTTTGCCTCTCCGAAATCCAAATTGCGTATCTGAAAGTAAACCATTTGACTCGACCCATTTGTCTAGACGAAAAAGAATCATTTTCTTCAACAATTTCCGTATACAGGACAGCATCGCGATGGGACGGTACGAGTTATAATCCGACGCGGGATTACCGGGTTTTCGAATGGCGATAACTCTTGCCTCCAGTCATCCGGAACAATGTTGTACTCCAGAAATGTATTGAATAAGTTCAACAAGCGTCCCCGAGTAGCACACTTTCATCACAATAAGCTACAGCAACTTGTTTATGACTGAAATAAGTCGTATATATGTTTCTACAATTGATTTGTAACAAGCGTGCTACTAGGGTATCTTCGCGACGTCTGGGAGATTTATAAGCAAGTTGAACTTGATTCTATCCATTCCTGGAGCTGAATTGTTACATGAGAGGAGAGCAAGTGAGAATTCCACCATCGAAAACGGGGAATCGATTTCGTTAATACCCGACGGACGATCACGAACCTTGGTTTGAACCGATAGCGAATTCTCATGGAAGTCTCTCGCGAAAATCCATCGACGAACCGACGCCAGTAACCGCGTTTTTTTTTTGGCATTACCGTGTATACGGAAGCATTTAAACGCGGTGGACTTCTCGCTGTTCGCTGCGGTGCAATGCTTATCTCACAACGGCGTGGGAGATCGCTTGCGAACGGAAACACCCGGAATACGTAACGTCTGTGCTCGCAGCGCACAATCGATGATGACGGTCGCGAATTTTCACCAATCAATGTTTTTCGTGAGATCGTGAGTGATGTCAACCGTGCTAGTAGAAGATGAACCATTGATAATATAAATTTTGATTGGCAAATGATCATTACCGTAGGGACTTGGATTACTTTCCTCGAGCAATCCAACGATAGTGAACTCTAATAAAGTTCGAGGTCTAATATGGTTACTCTTGCGGGAGGTTTGGCTACTCGTGTTGCTTTGTCATTTTGAAGATGTCGCACATGTCGTATATCAAGGTTGAACGATTGTCGTCGTACAGTTAGGTGCGTTCCCCACTTGTGTGGAGAGAATCCAAAAAAATTGTATCATGTCAAATTGCCGTACAACAAACATGTCAAATATTGATGGATGATCACTAACAGCAAGGAGCAAAATAATGGTGTTTGTCATCGTAGTCACTAACATGCACGCTTGATTATACAGGTAAAGCAATGGAAAAATTTGTGCTATGCTATTTTGTTCCGATCATCATGATCGGAACAAAATAGCATATCACAATTTTTTTCATTGCTTTACCTGTATAATCAAGCGTGCAGTGTTAGTGTGAGAGTTTATCGCAAGCGACATAGTCTATGTTGTTGCTTACTCTCCGTGTTTGTGATTTCCTGCTTGTGTGTCATTTAATATATTCTTTCATTTGAATAAAATACACTTGTTTTTAGGTATAAAAATCTTGGAATGGGTATTTTATTGTCGTGATAAAATCGCTACATAGATCATTGAATATTAGTGTGGTTAAAAATAACGATTTTGCTTTACATTATAATCGATTCAAATTCAGGACCTGAATTGAAACACATTTGGTTACGATCGCATACTGCAGTGGCCCTTTGAAGTGCATATATGGGAATTAGTATGGGAAAAGTGAATTTTTGATGCTTCTTATCCTAGCCATTCGCCACAATGATATACGGATACATTCTATCTGTAATTATGGGAACTTTAGCTACAACTTTGCTGAACATTTGTATATAACGTCAGAATAATTGATTAGTAATCCATCTTCCTATGATGCTCTTCTCACATACTCGATAAATTGCTCAACAGGCAATATTGCATTGACGTACTTAGCATGAATAATATGGCGAAAAACTTCGTCATTTACAACAAAGTAGTAGAAATAGAAAGCTCAATAAAAGCCATATTGGTATTGACGACGACTCGATTACTCCTTGCTTCTATTGAAAAATCTCATAACTATCTGCCAGTCTACTAGTGAAGAATGGACGACTTTGTCTAATCTTTTAACTCCACCGAAACATGACGAGGCGGTTACTCGATAGTGCCATTACCGCTGATTTCCGATAGATCTTATAAGGCGGTATCCATATTCCACGTGGAAAGTTTTTGAGAAGTTTTACTGAAGAAAGTCGCTATAAAGAATGTCAGAAATAAACGAACCAGTCGTTATAAAAATAATCGTTATAGAGAGCTTCGACTGTATTTCTCACGATCACGCTTTCATTATATCATCAAAATAAACATTGAAACACCACCTTTCGATTGCTGCAAGAAATGCTTCCCTCTTCTTTTCTCAACTGAAGATATCAACAATGAAAATGGTATTAGCGTTGTTGAAAATTTATCGTTGCTATATTATAAAAGGTACTTTCTTCAGCAAAAATTGGCTACTTAAAAAGTTTTAAATAGTTGCAGAAGTTTACTTTTCACGCTTAGTTTGAAGTTATGCTAAGCAGACATTTTTTTTGGGCACCCTATATCTTAAGCCATAAAACCGTTATAGAAAAATAACCATAAGTTTCTCGAGTACCTCGTTCATAAACGACGTAGAATTTCTAGAGGGAGATAGGGGGTAGCAAAAAGTCTACGAGTCTTATTATTTTGCACTTAGAAATAGATACATTAATGTGATTTTGTTTTTGTATTTTATTCAACCATGCATTCTAACAGTACACAGCTGGTATTGGGCAACATAAGATTTTTTTCAATAGTTTATTTGATAGGGTCAAATGTCCAAAAGGGCTCCACAGAGCCGAGAACCATACAGTTCGAAAAAGTAGTGTAAATTTCTGTTCAGTATGATGCACATAAATAAAGCGTCACATATCATATAAGTTTACATTATATATCATGTAAAAATCTGAGACATTTCATGCAATGTAGAAAATATTATATACAAAAGCCGATTGTTGTAAACAACATTGTTTACAAGTTTCTCGGTTGTGTGAATCGAAATACAAGTTTACGTGAATGAATATTTACATCACTATTAAAATTCAGAATTTTTATCTGTGCATTAAATAATATTATAATTACTCTTGCTTGGAGGTGACTTGAGTTTAACTTCCGCTTTCATCCGTTTTGTTTTTCCTTCAGCAGCGCCAACCGCATGGCCTCTTCTTCGTCCTTTATCCGCTCCTTCTCCGTATAGTTCAGTATTCCGCTTGCTTCCTCTCCATTGTTCTTCTCGGCGTCCGAGGACGTCACATCCGTCACTATCACCTTTTCTTCCAGGATCTCAACTGCTTCCTTCCTGTTTGGCAATGCACCTCCAGTCACTACACAAGCGCACGTACTGGTCTCTTCCTCATTCCGTTGTTGGTTTTCGTCTACCGTTCGTTGTTGTTACTGGCTGCTTTTGATCGTTCCGCTCTCCATACATAGACTCCGCAAACCTGTAAGCATATCGAGGCCCAAGACAGCTAGAAATTTCTCCCATAACTCGCTTTACATCACCGTATTTCTCTAGCACCAATGTAAGATCGCTATCCGGGACATCTGATCGTAAACTCTCACATATTGAACGGTGCGTAATTGGACTGATTTTCCATCGGTACAATGGAACATTAATTGTTCACGGTTATGTATACGCAAAAACAAACAGTTCCGCCATTCCTGAACAAGAAATCACGAAAACCTGATCTGCTAGTTAATTTTATTTCATGACTTATTTCCCACAAACGTGATCGAGTAAATCACATTTTCGTCAAATAAATCCCAAATCCATGAACAATGTTTACGCCTGTTCAGCGCGACCAACGATTTCGTAACGCTACAGAAAATACAAACTAAAATCATGATTCCGTGATCCATGAAACCATAAGTGTGATTAGCGTTCCTGAAATCTTGAAGTTGCATCACATGCAAAGCTGCAGCTGTCATTTTCAATTGTGGTCGAATTTATCCATACTGTGCTGGATCCGTCGAGAATATTGTTTTTATTATTAGTGATGCAGCTGAGCCGTATAATCAGAATGGTGGTTCGAAACAAAGTAAGTGGCTGGAACGTGTCATCAAACTGGCCGTATGCCTTGAACAAAAGGATCCCCGAACGTATCCGGAGTACTTGCTCCCGCCGCTCCAATGGAAGTCGAAGATAGTGTTGATTTGTTGAAAGTGTGTCCATGCTATCTGCTGGACAGATGCCTGCTGTCAGTTTGGTGATGGGTGAAACCTGCATCAAGTCTTCCGTTGTTTTCCTTCCTCACTCCATTTAAAATATTGAAATTATTGAAAAACTATTTAAATGTTGACATAGGGGAAATGGCTCTAATGTTGGCCTATGGATCTAAGATTGGGCCCATTGCTAAAAATCTGCTATTTATCAATTTTATCTAGATGAACGTGTCATAGGGCCGGTACTTATGAATATTTTTGGTCGCTATTGAAAATTTTATCAATTTCTGAATTTATGTATGGGCCCAAATTAGGGGCATTTAGGCCGACATTACATCCATTTTCCCTATTACAGTTCATGATAAATGTTGCCGTTTTGCAGAACAGGGTACCTGAGGTTCACGAATTTCGGAATGGATTTTTTCCGTAAAGCAAACAACAAAGCATCGATAGATTTTCCCTCTGCTATACTATATGTAGCAATGGGAGATCCACGTCCAGCGATTTCACAAAATTAGCAATTGATGGTTTTGGCGAGTCATGTGGGAAGCTGAATCGTATCGTCAGGCTTTATTTTCACCGACAACTCCACTAGTTGTGCTTCCAACGAGGCGGCAAAAGCAAACAAACTTCCAACAATGAGTAAGCGCCGCAACAATGAGTCGCTATTGAAAAATCGCAATAGTCTGGCGTGACTCACACAGAAAAAAAAAACACGCAGCTAGTAGCTACTTGTGTCGACAGCTACGACATCGAACTGAAAAAAAAAATCTATTTTGTCGTACAAGCTTAAGTTTTCTGATGAAGTCATTGTAAGCAAGTATCCGTTCGTATACCGTTTTAAATTTTTGATGACGTTTTGAGACATTTTTATGCATATTTGAAAGAATTTATAAACTATCTTTGTTTATCCATGTATACAATAATGGGATCAATGTTTACTTCCCCATTTTTATTGGAAAAATTCAACAAACGAATTAAAAACGATCATCTTTGACATCGTAATTTGAATTATTGATAATACATCGGATACTGGTGAAATTTTCAAGTAAAAATCAGTTTAAAAAAGTGTATTGGTGATTTAAAACTAATGAACGGATTTTTTATCATACTGAATCACATTCATACCAAGCTTTTATGTTTTCACAAAAGTACTGTAAAATCGATGTTTTTTCGGTGCTAACAAACAAGCCGGATGAACTAATATTCATTTATTTATATTGAAAAATTATAAATAGGATATAATCTTAGGCAATACAACGGTTTTATTTTTTCATAATTATGAAAGCCTACGTAGACTTTAGGGGGTGGGAAGGTGTTTCAGAAAAGTCTAGTAAATATAGTCTACGAAGGGGAGGGAGGGATGGCCCTAAGTATTTTCAGCAAAGTTTCGTTAAATTTCGTTATCTACAACTTTGTAGAAGGTTTCATTATGCTTTAATCATAAATTAATAGTTAAATCTTATTTTTGTCATATTAAGGACAACCCTATATGGCAACTTTCATCGCAATAAAGGCCTTATTATAAGCAACAGCTTCACAGAAGATTTAGCTGATGGCAAAGTTGTAATTTCAAGGGCAAAATATTGTTGCATATCAAATACTTGCTAAGATATGATGAAGAATGCAGTTAATGACTGGCTTACTTTGCCAAGACTAGGGACGTATACTCTTTATATTAATAAATCACTCATTATCACTTTTTTTAAATGCAACAATTATGATAACAGAACACTTAACACCATGCAGTCACATGTATTCATTACAATGCCGTGCACTGTTCGATTTCCAGTTATTACAGGCATCTGATGTGCTAGGAAATTAAATCACCTCTTCTTTTCCACTTGTTTATCCTTTCTATCTCTCAAGGGTCTTTGCTATCATGGCTGGAAGCTGGGCATACCAGTCACCGTGATAATGCCGTCGAAAGCTTCCCTGATGAAGATACAGAAATGCCGTGACTACCATGCCAACGTAATCGTACAGGTGAGTTTCTGGGGCAAAAACAACCGCGGGGATGCTCGAGAGAATTTCACGCTTGGCCAAACGGGCACGTTCAACAGAAATCATCCAAGCGAACAGTTACTAGTACAGATTCCCGATTTTCCCCCACACAGGGCTCTGACATGGGTGAGGCAAAAAAGATTGCATTGAAAATGGCTCATGAAACTGGCCTAACGTACATCAATGGTTACGATCATCCGCACATCATGGCCGGTCAGGGCACAATCGGGCTGGAAATTGTAGAACAAGTGAGCAACATCGATGCTGTTGTGGTTCCCGTTGGAGGTGGCGGTTTGATTGCTGGAGTTGCAACTGCCATCAAGAATTTAAGCCCCCAAACCAAAATCATTGTGAGTTAGTTGATGTTGAATCGATCCATGTCAAATCGCATAAAAACCTGCATTGTTATTGTTTCGATATTCGATGTTTCATTTTGATCATCCATAAACACGATTGGACATGGAATGACCGTGTTAGTTTTATGTTTGTCGGTCTAGCAGTAGCAAATATCTTCTCTTTTTCTGCCCCCATGCTCTAATATTTCACAGGGCGTAGAATCGGAAAAGTGTCCTAGTTTCACAAAAGCGTTGGAAAACAAGGCACCCATTTACACTCCGAACAAGGAAACACTAGCGGATGGTCTGGCCGTACCTCAGGTGGGCTACAATGCTTTCGCTACCACGGTTCCACTGCTGGACAAGATGATAGTAGTCAAAGAGGAGTGGATTGCACTGGCTATTTTGCGACTAGTCGAGCAGGAAAAATGCGTCGTAGAGGGCGCCGGTGCGTCAGGTCTAGCTGCGATGTTGGCCGGTCATTTGGACGAGTTCAAAGGAAAAAGGTATACCTACCCACATCGGGTCGTACATCTACCAGCAAAGAAGACTTCAATGGCAATGTTTCTTTTTCACCTTTCATCTACAACGGTATATAGGGTTGTACTGTTAATATGCGGCGGAAACATTGACACCACCATTTTCGGTCGATGTCTTGAACGTGGCTTAGCTGCAGATGGTCGTTTGCAGAGGTAATTCGATAACAACATTAATGCACATTTGCAGCACGTTACGAGGTTTGCTTTTGCCTTTCCTGTGGCTTTATAGATTTACAGTAACGGTCAGTGATGGCCCGGGTGGTGTATCGAAACTATGTAACTTATTGGCCAAACTTGGTGTTTCCATTAAGGATATAATGCACGAACGTGCGTTCATTCGAGACATTCACAGTGTAGAGGTAAGTATATGTAGCTGTTTGTAGCTGGGCAAAGTTTCGGTGTAAATGTGAGTGCATCCGGTGGCAAAAAGCAGATGAAAAGCTACTGCTGCATGAGGTGAACGTGATACATAAAGTTTTATCTTGTCAAATGGACACCCTTCCCCACCGGTAACAGAGATTGCAGTACTAGCCAGGGAATCACGATCTAATGGCGAAACATAACAGTGACCAAGTAGCTATTAGGAGAAACCATTTGTCATTCCGCATTCTAAGCACGTCATCGGGGTCTCGTATGGTGATGTGGTAATGTCCTGTTTAACTTTTCGTTTCAGGTTAAAGTCGTCTGCGAAACACGTGACTGGACCCATTCGCAAGAAATGCGAAAAGCACTACAAGATACATACGATAATGTTTGCTTCTATGACCTTCCCATGGCTTTTTAGAAGGAAAATACGAATAGGAACACATTTTTATTATTATGCTGATACATCCTCCTATTTGATCAGTTTACGAAATATATCGGAAATAAAGTTTAACATTCAAGTAGATTAGAGTATTCCTTTCGTTTTTCTTTTCTTGGTTCTTCACCAAGTTGGTTAGGTATGGGACTGGACAACTTGTCATTATTTTCATGAAACATGTTTACATTTCTCTTAGCGAACGGCATTGGCTAGCTGAAATGCATTTCATGTATCAAACCAGCTGTAAAATGCACTTTAAATGCATCTATTTCCATGTTGCCTGGTGGAGGCAGGGGAGGTGATATTTTGAAGTTAGGAAAGACTTCCAGCGAATTTTGAGTGCGGACAGGTTTTTTTTTTAGTTTCAATTGCTCTGAAAGTGAGCTACTTTTAGTCAGTTATGAGAAACGTTTACTCCTGCGAGTTACGAAATGAGAAAGATTCGTTTTCAGTGAAAGAACTACGAAAAGTGGAACCTTATGAATGTGTATTACATGCAGCTTTGCCATGTCATTTTCAGAAAAATCTGGACCAGGTAAAATATAAAATCTGGAAAAATCTGGAATGCTCCAAAAATCCTCTTTTTTACATTATGCTATTGAAATCAAAGTGATGTGCCAATCTCTCGTAAAAATAGGTCAGTATGATCATCTGGAATTTATTTAAAGTACTAGAATGGTTATAAATTACATGTTTATAACTTAACTTGTTAGCATTGCTTAAATCATCCAAAAGTTGAAAAGTATTGACAAGATGTGCCCAAAAATTTCAAATAACCATTACGCAGCATTTCAAAAATTTAGTGAAATGTGGGTAAAAAACAACAGAAAATATGGAGAATGGTTTTTAAAACTGTAACTTTTTAAAATAGAATGAGAAGCAAAGAATCAAGGAAATTTGATGCGATGGATTTTTTTGAACTAATAGACAATAAAGTCCTTACTTTTTGATGCAGGAACCAGAATTTAAAGATTTTATTCGTTCTAAATAATTCTTATATTACTCTGAGGTTGATCAGATTGACAGTTCAATTCTTGACATCATACAACACACAACACACAGCAGACAGGAGGTAATTTTATTTTGAAGCAAAATTCACTGGACTGAAGTGGGAATCAAAGCCTAACATCGTGGAACTCACCCACAGTTTACCTTAACTACGGGTAGCTCCACTACTCGCATGACCATTTTGCCAAAGAATTATTTTATTTTATTTGTAAAATGAAAGTCAGATAGCTTCATATTTGAAGCTTCAGGATCTTGCAATGATTTTAAATTTCGGAATTTATATTTTTCCTGCGTCCCGGATCATGATTTTTTTGTTAGTCTGAATTTACTTCGAACTTTTCACGGATATCTTCGCCTTTTTTTTTTTGTTCAATTTGAATCATTCTAGAATTCAATCATATTTCTTTTCTATATTCCCATAAAATCTACGTAATCCATAAACTGGTAATAATTCCCTTAATTTTAATAATAATTTCCTTTGTACACTCTTCAGAATGACCGCCACACTCTTCTCAGACTTATCCGAAAATTCCCTTTGAACTGCTTTGTAGGTCAGATTTTTTTGACGTTGGATAACGTCTTTCGGCAACATACGGGGGTACAAAATTGAAAACAGTCATTTTGGATGAGTTACGAAAAATTAAAAGATTTTGAACGATAATAACTCAACCATCTCTCGATAGATTTACGAGATAATGGCATCAATCAATTGGAAATATTTCTAGCAATTTACTGAATGTTTCAAAACTATTGATTTCATTCTGTAAACTATTGAAAAATGGTTAAAAGTAAACCATTGTCTAAAGATGGTGAAAATCGATTGATTTTTTTATATTCTTATACTTTCTCCAACTGAGACATCAGATGCGAGTATCTGACACCTCTGATATTTTCTGTTCTACTATATAAGCGTCCAACAAGGTCGCCCGTTCCATCATTGTCTATCCGATCGTCGACCCAGCAGCAGAGCAGCAGAGCAGCGGAAGCAGAGCAACGGCAGCAGAGCAGCGGCAGCAGAGCCTGGGGGCGAAAGGGCAACTACGCCGAGTGCGTTGGTGCCAGTGCTCCGGTATACTGGGCCGCCGTCATGGAATGCCCAGCTGCTGCAGTTCTCAGTCGGTCGTATTCACCGTATGCTCCGCAAGGGCAACTACGCCGAGCGCGTTGGAAAAATTGCCCTTTTCAGGGCCACAACATTATCAAGAAAGAGTTTAACGATTAATTTTCTAATGCCTTTCCGACACTTTTTTCATGACTTTCATCGGCCTCCTGATATTCATGTGATTTTGTGGTGGGATTTTTAGCTATGTGAAATTCACATGGTTTTCATCCATTAGATACCTATGTGGTAAATTTTTTGAGTGTGCTTCGGCAATCAAAATAAAGTTTGCACGATGGAAGTGCACATCGTAAATTTCGTTCATTTTAGTAATAATTAAATTGCCCCTCTCCCCCTACCCTCTGGCAGTACATGAAAAGCCTTTTTGTGAGGGGAATTTTTCAAAAGGATGCCGATTAAAATAATGGGTACCATTTTCTGAGGATGAGATGAGAACGATTCGTCATCCATATGAAGCGTGTCACGATCATTCCCAAGGTATTTTGTGTTCACCTACTAACCAGGCTCGGTTTTATTGTTCTATGAGCCCACAGTATAGGCGTAATAATAATCTAGAAGTATCGCTTCAATACGATTAACCGGTTGACTAAGCAAAGAAGACCGGAAAGTCCCAACGGCAACGGTAAATGTTGAGCAATGAAGGAACAATACGCACACCACGATCATTTCTGAAATCTCAACCGTAATTTGCTAATGAATTTCATTCCGCTGCATCAATGTAGGCCATAAGTCCAGGGCCACCGCAGCTCTGCAAGGTAGGGGAAATGGATCTAAGATTGGGCCCATCGCTAAAAATCTGCTATTTACCAATCTTATCTATATGAACGTGTCGTTGGGACGGTACTGATGGATATTTTAGGGCGCTATTGAAAATTTAGTCATTAGTTTAATTTTAGATATGGATGGAATGATAACACTGCACTGGTTAATTTCTTGGAATTCAAGACACGCCTACACTAATCAACCATCATCGAACTTACTCGATGAGGATATCAATTAACTAGGGAGAGCATGACAGAAAGATTCAACCATGTTTTTAATGGATTCATTTTATCACTCCTTGCGCACCACGAAGGAAACTGTTTTGAAAACGAAACTCTTTACCATCAAATTGGTCGTCCTGAAAAGGACGGATTTTGTTAAAGGGTGGGAACTTCGATCGAATTTAGGCCTTCTTTTCGGTCTTCTTGGGCAACAGGACGGCCTGGATGTTTGGCAGGACACCACCCTGAGCGATGGTCACTCCGGAAAGAAGTTTGTTCAGCTCTTCGTCGTTGCGGATGGCCAACTGCAGGTGACGTGGGATAATTCGGGTTTTCTTGTTGTCACGAGCGGCATTTCCTGCCAACTCGAGAACTTCAGCGGCCAGATACTCCATCACGGCAGCCAGGTAGACGGGAGCACCGGCTCCAACACGCTCGGCATAGTTGCCCTTTCGGAGTAGACGGTGAATACGACCGACTGGAAACTGCAATCCAGCGCGGCTCGAACGGGACTTTGCCTTTCCCTTGACTTTGCCTCCTTTTCCACGTCCAGACATACTGCGAACGACACGAACAGTTCGATGCTGAAACTGTAATGATGACATTTCGACCGTCGAGGGTGGTTTTATACCTGCGTCGAGTAGTATATTATGAATACAGGGACGGTACAATAAATACTGTGGGTAGCAAAATACTGAAAATGGGATGAGTGTCGGTTGTCTCTACGGGCATGAAACAAGACAGCGTTGCCAGTATTCCTGAATTATTTGATTTTCCAGATTTTCAATCGTCTTGCCAGATACTTACCCAGATATAATTTACTTATTAGTTATTACGTTTATTTCAAGAATTTTTAATTATGTTCCGGATTTTCCCATATTTTTTAAATATGTTGCTTTAGAGAATTTCCAGCCCAAAACGAAAACCGGTTGGACATGAGCGTTTCCGAATTCAGTCCAATAGAGGCGATGGGGGCAAGAAGACCATACGGGGCGAGATGGGCCACCGTTCGTTTGGGCATAATACCTATTAACTCAATCTATTTTTTTTTACAAACTTGTTGAAAATGCTTCTAATATGCATCTCCATGAAAACCGTATCAAAATTCAATTACATGTCTAAGATAATAATGGAAATGTAACATTAGCTCAAAATCTCTAGAATATTATAAGATATGCAGTCAAGAAAACAAGCATTGCATTCACTATATTACATTTTACTGATCCGCTGGTTCTACAGCGAGCAATACACGTAACTGTTGCTAAAAGAACTTATGTTTCTATTTCACTTGATTCCTGCATGTTATTTTCTAGTGAAAACCTGTCAAAACCTTAACTTTTACTAGGGTGCTCATATTGCCCCGTATGGTTGTTGATCGGAGCAAAAACTGAAATTTTTCAAACATAATCATTTATTCAGTCTATCATTCCAAAACCACAACCAAAACGGCCCTTTTCAGGGCCACCAATATTTCGACAAAGAGTTAGTTTTGAAGACAATTTCTATCCAGAATATCACAGTGGGAACGCTGGAAGGGGAGAAGCTGTCTCTCTTCGAACTACCAACATCATTCCAAAGCTCCTCCAGGGCGACAGAGTAGAGCAAACCCTTCTTCTTCTTCTTCTTCTTCTTCTTCTTCTTCTTCTTCTTCTTCTTCTTCTTCTTCTTCTTCTTCTTCTTCTTCTTCTTCTTCTTCTTCTTCTTCTTCTTCTTCTTCTTCTTCTTCTTCTTCTTCTTCTTCTTCTTCTTCTTCTTCTTCTTCTTCTTCTTCTTCTTCTTCTTCTTCTTCTTCTTCTTCTTCTTCTTCTTCTTCTTCTTCTTCTTCTTCTTCTTCTTCTTCTTCTTCTTCTTCTTCTTCTTCTTCTTCTTCTTCTTCTTCTTCTTCTTCTTCTTCTTCTTCTTCTTCTTCTTCTTCTTCTTTTCTTCTTCTTCTTCTTCTTCTTCTTCTTCTTCTTCTTCTTCTTCTTCTTCTTCTTCTTCTTCTTCTTCTTCTTCTTCTTCTTCTTCTTCTTCTTCTTCTTCTTCTTCTTCTTCTTCTTCTTCTTCTTCTTCCTCTTCTTCTCTTCTTCTTCTTCTTCTTCTTCTTCTTCTTCTTCTTCTTCTTCTTCTTCTTCTTCTTCTTCTTCTTCTTCTTCTTCTTCTTCTTCTTCTTCTTCTTCTTCTTCTTCTTCTTCTTCTTCTTCTTCTTCTTCTTCTTCTTCTTCTTCTTCTTCTTCTTCTTCTTCTTCTTCTTCTTCTTCTTCTTCTTCTTCTTCTTCTTCTTCTTCTTCTTCTTCTTCTTCTTCTTCTTCTTCTTCTTCTTCTTCTTCTTCTTCTTCTTCTTCTTCTTCTTCTTCTTCTTCTTCTTCTTCTTCTTCTTCTTCTTCTTCTTCTTCTTCTTCTTCTTCTTCTTCTTCTTCTTCTTCTTCTTCTTCTTCTTCTTCTTCTTCTTCTTCTTCTTCTTCTTCTTCTTCTTCTTTCTTCTTCTTCAGACACCACCACTAAAGTTGATAGAATGACTGCATTAAATTCGATTTTTAAGTCTGTGTTAGGGAATGCGCTGATTTCAGACATTCGGTGATTAGACATTTGGTATTTTTCCATAGTGATGTTTACCCCTGAAAGTAGATATCCAACAAACATGGAAAAACCCCTGAAAGTAGGAAAAACTTTATCAATCTGTATGGGTTGGTATGGCAATTCAATATGGCAATATGGGTTGGTATGGCAATTCAAGTTTATATGGATAGAATGGATGATTTTCTAAGGAAAATTGAATTTTTATGATTATTTTATATTGATTTCGTGGACTGCTGGTGATTAAATCATCTCAAAATATTCTCACAAGTTCCAGAAACAATGGGTACAGGTTGAACGTACCTCAAGGCAATTCAAGTTTATAGCTGAGAAGGCGTCCAAACAGAAGCGGAGAGGAGATCGATATTGCGCCGTCAAGAATGCGTTCAACAGCGCCAGCTGGGAGGCCATCGCCGAGGCGCTGCATAGAATGAGGGTCCCTGACTATCTGTGCAGGATCCTGAGGAGTTATTTCCAGAACCGGGTTCCACAAGGCTCCATCCTTGGTCCAACGTTTTGGAACGGGATGTACAACGGTGTGCTAACGATGAAGCTGCCCAAAGGAGTTGAGATCGTTGGCTTTGCGGACGACGTCGTCTTGACGGTAACAGAAGTGAAAATGTTGGCGACCGAGGCGATAGATACGATTGGTAACTGGATGCAAGGAGCGAAACTGCAGATAGCCCACCACAAAACAGAAGTTATGATGGTCAGTAACTGCAAAGCAGTGCAGCGGGTAGAAATCACCGTCGGAGAGCACGCCATTGTTACGAGGCGCGTGCTGAAGTATCTGGGAGTGATGATCGACGACAGGCTGAACTTCAACAGCCACGTCGAATATGCGTGTGAGAATAATGCCGAATATGCGTGCCAGAATAATGCCGAACAATTCTGGTCCAAGCAGCAGCAAGAGGCGTCTTCTGGCCAGTGTGTCTTCATCGATACTAAGGTATGGAGGTCCAGCCTGGATTGAAGCGCTGAAAACGAAGCAGAACCACGCGAAGCTGAGCAGTACGTTCCGGCTCATGGCCATGCGAGTCGTGAGTGCGTACAGAACTATTTCCCAATCGGCATCATCTTGGTGGAGGACAACGAGTGCTATATGCGAAGGGAAACCAGAGGAGTACGAAAGCTGGTGAGAACGATGTCGATGGTTAAGTGGCAGCAGGAGTGGGATGCAGCGGAGAACGGTAGATGGACACACAGGCTAATACCGATTCTTTCGACCTGGGTGAACAGAAAACACGGAGAAGTCAACTTTCACCTGACGCAGTTCCTGTCAGGCAGTGCTGTTCCTGAAATTTGAGCTAAGTAGTCGCACCCAATGACCTACGCCTTTAATAACGATGCGCCCGCCCCTGACGTTGACGACGTTGTTTCAAATAGTGTATTACATATCTAGTTGATATAGTATGTTGCAAAACATTTGCACTTTACAGCTGCTGCACGATGAGCAGCACCATACTCTACAGGTGGCGAAGGTGGCATTTGCCACGCAACAAAAACCCGACGGACGGAAATCGCTCTAATTTTCCATGAACATTTACTAAGTGCTTACTTCTTGAAATTATTCTTAATTTCTGTCAACATTTTCCTAGCACCATTTTCTTTTCTTATTTATCTCATATCAAACTTGACTTTTTTCAAATTTCAGGAAAAATAATGAATAATTTCTAGAAATGTTCCTTAACATTCGTGGGCAAAACCTCGGACAAAACAAACCAATTCAAATTTGCTGTAGCCATGGCATTTATTTTCACTATGGTTGTATAACTCGATATCGAGCTTGTGGACATCGAGTTGGGAAGAGTTGACTGTATTTAAGGTTCAATTTACTTTGATGCTTTTTGGAATATTTCAAAAGCAGTTTTTTCCGACGCATTATTTCAGATTGCGAGAAGCTCGCACTATTCGATTCCTTTTGATATTTTATACAAAATGGCGCGAGCTTTTTGCAATCTAAAATAATGCGTCGAAAAAAACTGCTTTTGAATTTTTTAAAAATGCATCTAAGTAAATTGAGCCTTAACATATATTGCCAAAATCGATACCTTTTTAGATGTGTCATAAGTAAGTGCTAATATGGCTTATCGATAAGAATCAATAAGTGAATCCTGTTGAACAACTATTGAATAATTTGTGGAAGCAAGGAGGATTTCTCGTTTTCCAACAAAGCGAGAATCACCTCAGCACATTCCAATTCATTCCCTAATTGACCTACATTTGGACGCGGCCGGCGCTGCAATTGGATATTGTTAAGTATGAGATCACCAGTTTTTATGCATTGCAGTATGCTAATCCCACGCATTCCCCCCTATTCTGCGAGTCACGTGACTCTCTCTCACCGGTGAGGTGACAATTGACAATTGTCACCTCACCGGTGACAGAGAGTCACGTGACTCGCAGAATAAGGGGGATTGTATGTTGCTTCTGTTGCTTGTTGTTGCTGTAATACAGGTGACCGCGAGCAGTGAATCATTCTCACGCTCAATTATGTCTGTACTATTAGAAGTGATTCAGTACTTTATGAAGTGAGTTTAAACTTTCCTGCTGTAATTCAGTACTGTTCAAACTGATTCCTTGATTTTCTATAGAGTTTCAGTACTTTCCAAAGAGATTTTGAACATTCCCCCAAATTCTCCCCAAAGTGATTGGGATTTTTCTATTGTGTAGTATTTTCTGAAGGGATTCCAAACATTACTGAAGTGATTCAGTTTTTGAGGAAGTGATTGCAAACTTGAGAAAATTGATACAGTACTTTCCTAAGTTTTGTGAAGTGATTCTTTTCGAAACTGTTCAGTTCTTATGGAAACGAATAAAAATGTTCTGGAAAGGTTTAGTATTTTCCAAAGAAATTCAGAAATTTTGTTAAGTCATTCAATACTATCCGAACATTTTCCGAGCTTTTCTGAAGTGATTCAGTACTTTCAGAAGTTATTTCCAATTTTTCAAACGTGATTCAGATCTTTTGTAAGTGATTCAGTGCTTTTCGGAGTGATTCCAAATATTCCTGAAGTAATTCA